TCGGGGCGCTGAGGAGGGGGGGGGTTTCAAAGCCAGCCTTTAATCTGAGCGTTTCTGGTTCAGCCATCTGCCAGAAGTCACCGTCGTGAGAAACGTGCGTGGACTCACGTAGGGGAATTACACTCAACTTAAAGGTTCGAGATAGCCAGTGCATACGCTGGCACTGAGAAGCAAACGGAAGACGCATATTTACAACACCTAGATAGCTTATTAAATGAAGCAGCTGTGTAACAGTTCTGCGTTCTCGGAAAACGGGTCTTGCCCTGTTAGCAGTTACAGCGTGAGAGCTATTTACGTATGCACCGACGTAAAGAACCGTACTAATGCCTAAGAATTTGTCAGTGTATTACGATAAACGTCTAAGGACAGTAGGGAGAGGCCGCATTTTGCTAGATGGAAAGAGAAAAGCTTTCAGGATCAGGTGCCTATTTGCATCTAAAGAACTAAGGAAAGAGAGGGACACAAACTATGATCTAGAGTATTTATCTACAATAAGAAGCAAGTGCAGTATTTCTGCATCGTGACTATGGAGGTAGTCCATTGCTAGTTAGTCCAATTCATACGAAAATTAGTTTTGCAGAATCAGCATATGCCTTCAAGATGAATTATTAAGAAGCTCCAGGTTGTCGTGAAGTTACTGTTAATACCTATGATTTGAGTGTACTTGTTCAGTTGGCCTTGTGTTTGACAGTGCATAGAGCTGCCCTAAAAGTAGGATTTGACACGCTCAATTTGTCTGCTTGGGCTGGTTCTGCATGCTGCAGGACGTTCTATTGTATGTTACTGCATTCTAGAAATAGCATCTTTCGAAATGAGTCTCACAGTAGGGAGTGAACCTGAAAATAGATCAAATTGAAGCAGGATGAAGGGATGGTTTTCTTTTGTGTAGGCAACTAAACGTGGATCTCATTTTATGAAGAGCTCCTGGGTGCTGCGTGCATTTCTGGATGGAAAGTCCCTACATAGGAAAAATCCCTGTCTCAGAGAGTGGATGAGCTGTGAAATGCCTTCTCACATCACAGATGCTTACTTCTGTCAGACCAGTATGAGTTAGTATTTTACATAATGTAGTTAAAGTTACTTTAACTTAACCTTCAAATGGAAATTTGGCCATTCACCTGAACTTGAATTTAGGAGCTAAAAAAATAAGTCGTAAGCTTAGTTTGTTCCATTTGCTAAATTCTGTGGTCTGCTCCCCCATCACACATGTGCACACACGTTTCTCCCCCACAAAATTGTGAAATACTGAGAAAATCTATTGCTCAGGTTTTGCAGGGGCACTGGTCGAGTCATTATAAGTCACAGGAAACTCTTCATGAAGCGTGCTGTGTGGAAACTAAATACCAGACATGAGGTCAAAGCTCCTGCAAGCCCTTTTTATAAATGCTGACCTGTGTAGGAGTCAGTAGTCTGGGTATGAGTGAGGGTGTGCAAGTTGAAAACAACTCTGCCACCCACCTTGAACCCTTCTCTCTGGCAGACTCCAGTCAGGTAAAGTCTTGATTAGGCCAAGCTGCTTCCTGTTCTGGTGCTGATGTGCTGTGCCTCCCGCTGCACAAATGTCTTAATCCCTTAATATCATAATGCATTCTTTGTAAAAAGCTCTGTAGTTAAATGGGATTGCTATGAATATTAATTAAAGCTAGCAACCCATTTTGAGGTGGCTTAAATTAAAGATAATGCAAAAACACAAATTATTCAATGTTGTTAAACTTCACCATTAGGAAGGATTTGTACTAGGAGATTTGCCTTCTAACTGCATTGTCCTTTTCTACCCCTCTCAGCCCCTCCCTTCACAGCCATCTCGCCTAATAGCAACCCTTCAAGATATGGCCTCGAAAAGAGCATTGGTGATTCTAGCAAAAGGGGCAGAGGAAATGGAAACTGTAATCCCCACTGATGTTATGAGAAGAGCTGGGGTGAGTATGCAGACAACGAACTATCTTTTTGTGAGCCCTTGATCAAGGGAAAAATCTTTGCCTCAAGTTCATGTTCATTGCTAGGAGTTCAAGGTGTAGTCTGTTGTAGGAGGTGAAAGTTTACCTGTGCCCTCTTACTGGTTAGCAAGTGTTTGTGCCAGGCTCCAAATAAGCATGCATAACAACTGACATTTGTGCAAAAGATAAACTTTTAAAACAAGAGCTTAATGTAGGCTAAAGTGAATGTTTCTGATAAACCTTACCCTGTCAGAAAACGTGGCTATGCCCATGCATAGTAACAGGAAGTGCTTTTTTTTTGTAGCAGTCTGAACAGCTTAGTACAATACAGCTCATGACATTATGTAGCTTTTCTTGAGCTACTTTTAAAATTTTGTTATTAACTAGAATTCTTTCTGGTGGTATTCCTCATGCTGTTTGTTACTTTTATAGTGGTACACAGTGTCATCGTCTCAGTAGGTATGAAAATAAGATTTTTAAATAAATATACTTACTTCACTTGTATAGAAATAACTGAAATAAAAATTACCTTCTCCCACTGCCTTCGTCATTCCATTAATGTACTCCCCATTTTGGCTGCCATGAGAAGCACAAGCTTGTCTGCTTATTTAGTGAATGTGAGCTGTGCCATGCATATCTATGATATCATGACCAGGCATCTAAAAGTCAAGGGAGAAGACTGAACACACCATAAGTGTGTTTGAAAATGGCATGAGCCTGCAGAGAGATTTTAAGTCATCATCTGTTCTACTTAGTCTAGCTCTCCTGGGTTGTATTGTTTTGTTTTGTTTCAAACCTGTGGGGTCAGATATTGTCTAAATGTCCCATTTGAAAAATTGAGCTTTTAGAGGTGTTTGTTAATCTCTAGCTGAATGTCACTGCTTACCTTGTGTGTTTGGCGTTCAACATGGTTTGGGGAAGCTTAAACATTGCCTTGTTCTTGATAGCTTTCAGTAGTGCTTCACTCTTTCTGTGCACTACTTAAGAACAAACATATAAGAAAACCACCCTAAATTCTTGAATTGTAACAGTACATATATTCTTCATTTAGATTAAGGTGACTGTTGCAGGCCTAACAGGAAAAGAACCAGTGCAGTGCAGTCGAGATGTCTTCATTTGTCCTGATGCCAGTCTTGAAGATGCCAGAAAAGAGGTTGGTCATCACCCTGACCTGGTATAATGGCCAACATAGCCTTTCTCACAGTTTCAGAGGTGAATTTGGCCCAGCAAAATACCATGATTCGGAACAGCCGAAAAGTTGTGATGGGAAGCTAAACAATGCTATAATGTACAGTAAGGCTGGAGCAAAACCACTTGTCCTTAATGATGCAAGAGCTGCCATTTACTTGTTGAAGCTCTTAAACACACTAGACTTAAAATTTAGTTCTGTGACAGACTTTTTCGGTAATGGGCTCTTCCTGAATAGGAAACAGTATTTTGTTCCATAATTGGAACTGGTTCTCTGATCATAAAGTATTGTTCAATGGAAGAAAAGGTAGATCCTTTTGCTTCTCACTCAACTCAGCTGTAATGGCCTTAAAACAGTGTAATGCGTGTACCAGCCTCTGCTCAACAGAGCAATTTTTTTGTTTGTTTGTTTAGGGGCCTTACGATGTCGTGGTCCTGCCTGGAGGTAACCTTGGAGCTCAAAACTTGTCAGAGGTAAAGTTCTGGTATCTTAAAGATTCATGGGTATCCTCATGAGTAGTGAGTGGTCTACACTTGCTTAGTAATCCTACAAATTTAGTTCAGCATCTGAAAATTCTCTTCAGAATGACTCAGTAAACTAGATGTTTATTGTCTTAAGCCTTCTTGTGAATATATAGGTAGGACAACTGGGTAAATTCTTGGACTTGAGTACCTAGGTAAGCAGAATAAAAATGGAAGGTTGCTCTGTATGGTGGGAAAATCTCTGTTCATAATCATATGAAGATGAGGGAGTTGCAAATGAAGATTTAATTCCATGAAATACAAAACAGGTTGAACCCACAGGACTCTGTTCCTTTGCTCAAGAGTTCTTTCTCTGGTGCAGAACTGTTGTAGTGGTGGTATAAATGCCTTGTGAAAGGCAAGCAGACAAACAAGTCGGTTTATCAGGTAGGATTTAGATGGTATCACACAATTTGTAAGCCCTGGAATATGAGACAGATATCCTGTATAAATCTTAATGATAGAGACTGTCTGGAGGGATTTCATGAATACTGTTTCCTACATGTCTTGTGAAGTTTTCAAACAGACTTTCTATGGACATTGATTAACCGGCTTTTATGTGAGCCAAGTACTTCCTCGCAGTTCCTTCTGATTTCCTTGCTCTTTCCTTGTGGGGCAAGTATTTATTGTTTTCAGTTTTTCTCCTTCTTAGTGTTTTCATTGCCCTCTGTCCTGAGAGAGGATGGAGTGTTGTCAGCTGTTTTTCTTTGTAAAACTTGTTTATGAATTTGCAGGGGAAAATATTTCAACCATGCTTCAAATAATCGACCCCAAACAATGACTTGTGATATGGTTTCTTCGTACAGTCTCCTGCTGTGAAAGATATTTTGAAGGACCAGGAAAGCAGAAAAGGCCTGATTGCTGCCATATGTGCAGGTGGGTCACCAAGATGTCTTGCTTTGTAAAGCAGTTGGATATTTTGAAGGGGCATGCAGACAGTTTACTGTCTTAGAACTCTATATTGCTGTAATTTAGTACCAGGGATTTGTACTATACATGCACCCATCAGCATTTGAATTTTTTGTAAATTTAGTAGCAGAGGAATCTCTAAAATACTGTGAACGCTTACCTGCAAGTTCTGCTTGGTACCCAGTTCTTTTCAATCAGTTGTGTGACTGTCTTTAAAATAAAAAGTGAAAGGTAATGTGCTAGGATGTTTTACAAAATACTTGCTTATTCCGGTGATCTTTCTGCGAGGACACAGTGCTGGCAGAACATCATTGCTGTAAATTTATCTCACATCTCCTCTCCTGCCCTTTAGCTTCAGAAGGAAGGCTGTAAATATAGAATTACAGGCTCACCCTTCCTCATCTGAGTGGTAGCAAAAGATGGAATTACTCTGAGGAGAGAGTTGTCTGCTTACATATTCTGCACAGCTAGGTGTCCAGTTCATTCCTTTGTAAAATTTGTATGTGATAAAGCAAGATGAACAATTGCCAGTACTCTTACGTGGACTGAGAGTCTGGACTGGGTACCCGTGGCTGAGAACGAGGAGAGTCATGATGAGTGTGTAAAAGACGGTCTAACAGTGTGTTTGTGGAGCGTATTTTCACTTTTGTTTTCTGGTACATTGCTGGGCTTTTTTGCTTTCAGTCTTCAGTTAGGTGATACACATACAGAGTTGTGAACATTCTTGAACTTGGCAGTGGTAGCCTTCTACTTCTCTGTCTGTATCTCTTGCAGAACAATCGCAAATTCACGGTTGCCCAGTAAAGGCCTTTGCCTGCAATGAGGACAGTTAATTTATTTAGGTATAATGCTTCCTGGAGCTGATTCCAACTGAACACAAAGAAGGTTATTTCCTGGGTTATATCTGAAATGAATCAAATGTATAGAAATGAAACTCACATTAGGCAAATCCTGCCTTTAGTTTCTTTTGGAATTCCCATAAGGATTTTCTGTCAGATGACCTAAGACTTCTTGACACAAACTTCTTCCTCTATTTAGGCCAAGGAGGAAGTACGAAAAGAAAAGAGAAAGACTGTGAAACCCAAAAACTTAGCAGATAGTCCACGATCTGTCCGAAATACTGCTTCGCACACAATTCCAACATGTAAGGGCTTGCTCAAGTGAAGTTTTATCTGTTAAGCCTCTGAACTCAAGCCTTGCCAAGATCGTAAAGTTATTAGACCTAGTTAATGTTCAGATTGAAATGAAGACTTTTTGTTACTTAGTTTCAAGCAGTTTTAAATGTATTACCTGGAAATAAAATGACCATTGTTCTCAACTTCTTCAAAGGCAGCAGAGTCATTGGTAGGACAGCTGCACGAACTGGGTGTTCTCTAAACCTTCTCTTCATCAGTTTCGCTGCACAGGGTGTTTTGTGTAATCGAATGGGAGAGATTATACAGCTGTCTTCTTTTTGATGTCGTTTGCTTCAGTGATAGGGCTGGCATCAGTTTTATCAAAAGCAGTCTGTCCACAGTGAGCTTTGGCCACTTGAGGGCCCAGTGCCTGAATGTGTTTGTAGCAGAAAACAGTTTCTCACCGATTCAACTTTGTGTCCCTACAGGTCCTACTGCTCTTCTGGCACATGGGATTGGGTTTGGAAGCAAAGTCACAACACATCCTTTGGCCAAAGATAAAATGATGAATGGAGGTATGTAACAACTTCTGTAGGTTTCTCTTTAACCTCTTCTCAGAACTTTTTTTTTAGTTGAACCCTTGATTTAAAGAAAAGAAAATAGCTTTTGTATGTTATTTCATATCTCTGGATTTCCTTAATGCTTTCCTGAATGTAATCAAAATTCAACTGAATATGCTAAGACTGTATTTCTAAGTCTATTTAACCTGAAAATACAGGGCTCTATTAACATTCTCATTCTTGGGGAAAATAAGCATCATGCTAGGAGCACTTTTTCCCTTATCCTCTGAGGCTGAGCCATCTTTTGCCCTTTTGGTTCTTTGCCTCAGTGGTCCCAACAGCAAACCCCAGAAGCACCTTTCCTGCTCTCCCATGAGTAGTGTTTTGGTGCTATGAGCAGCTGTTGGCTTCACCCTTCTTTCTCATACCTAAAGGAGGTGGTCCTGAAGCTCTATTAAGAAGTCATTCTGTGAATATTAACGAGTCTGAAGGTGAGCAGGAGATGGCAGGGTTCCTACAGTTTCCTCTACGTGGATTTGGAAAAAAAAACACATTGTGAACAGCTACACAAAAGCAGTCTGACTTCCGAAAGTAACCTCATGGGAACTAACAGGCAAGCTCTTGATGAGCTTGTAGAATCAGAGGTGCATTCCCATACCATGTGAATAAGCTGCCAGAGCTCCCTGAAGGCCCCTTTCCTCCCTGAGGACTGCAGGCAGTGATGAGCTACTTGGTTCCAGAGGGGCAAGGGTACAGAGCTTGAGGCTTGCTGAGCCCACACGGGTGGCTGAGGTGCCTTCTGCGGAGTGTGAACACTGTGGGTGAGGAGCTGCTGCAGTGCCCTGCAGCAGGCAGGTCTGTGCTCTGCAGCAGCTGTGGGCAATGTGCTGAAGACTGATGCTCTTTCTGTTGTGTGTTCCCCCCAAGCACACTACTGCTACTCTGAGAGCCGCGTGGAGAAAGATGGGAACATCCTCACCAGCCGCGGTCCTGGTACCAGCTTTGAATTTGGGCTGGCCATTGTTGAAACGCTGATGGGGAAGGACGTGGCTGAACAGGTGAAGGCACCCCTAATACTGAAAGAGTGAAATCCTGGTGTGGGACTGGGAGTAGGACAATTTCAGATGGAGAATCTTGTCCTTTCTAGAGTAACTGTAAGAGCACTGTTGTAAATGCCATTTAATTCTGGGTCAAATTAGCAACTGTACTTAGCTAAATTGGAATATCTTAACAAAGCAATGGTCTTTATTTCTGGAAAAAGATCCTGTTAGCAAAAAGCTTCATCACAAAAAAGCAGACAGCCTTTAATAATCTTAGTTAGGTCTTGGATGGTATTTAAAAATTGCAAGGGAAGATGTTTGCTGAGTAAATAAAAATGAAGCGACTCTGCTTGTGTGTTGTTTCTTTTTGTGTTTTCTCCCAACCCAGACCTATGAAACCGTTTTACCACTATGACTAGCAATGGACTATTGAAAACAACTTCTGTCTATAATCTCACACAGTTCTTCTGAAGCATGAGCTGAATGAGAAGGTGGTCAGGCACTGGTATAAGCAGCCTGTCGGTGTTCATAAGCATTTGGACAACGCTCTTGAGATACATGGTTTAACTTTTAGGTTGTCCTGTGCGGAGTGAGGAGTTGGACTTGATGGTCCTCATGTGTCTCTTTCAACTCAGGATATTCTGTGATTCTGTGAAATCAATTAAGTTGTACCTTTGATTTTGTTAAAACAATATTTAGTTCCCTGTATACAAATGAGGCCAAAACCTAGTATTATTTCTAAGACATCATGGAACTAAATTAAAAGTGGCAGTATTCTTACCTTGTCAAGCACCCTAAAGTTTGTATAGCTAGCAGGTTGTCCATGATACTGTTGGAATTTGTCTTCTATGTTAAATGGCTGCAGATCCATTGGACTATTTAGGCAGCTAATAATCAGCATAAAGCAGGAAGTTTGGACTTACTAGCTTACCACCAACACCAGCGCTTGTTTCTGCTTACTGCAAATCAGAACCTGCTACAAGCCTGGCTTAAGTGAGCATATGTCAGTTTCGAGGAGTTGCTGGACAGGTCTCTGGAGGAAGTAGTGGAGCTGTATCCCCATAAGAATTAAGAATTTGGGATCAATTTTTGTCTTTGCTACCTTTCTTTTACCAAATAATTCTGCTGTTTTCTGGCTCTCAGCAGTCATGCTTGCAAGATGGCACCTCACTGGAATCTGACATTACCACAGCATCTGGAGACCTGGTTCTGCATGCATCTGAAGTGTACAGTCTAAACTTTAGAAAATGACTGCATAGGTGCATTTATGATTGCTTATTTTGATGGGAAACAAGTTCATTCTCAGTGACTCTGTATTGGTAATGAAATACAGGTACTTTTGCAAATTTAGAGATAAGAAATGCCTCTACATTGTTAGTATCTACTGGAAGAACTGCTTTAGCTGTATGCTCTGCCTCCAGTTTGTTTAGGAAATCTTTTATATATTTCTCTAGCTTTGAAATTTGCTCAAGGTGTGCAAAAAGTTGTAATCTCTGTAAGACTGGACATGTTTGTTCGTTAAATCTGCACGTCCCAGTGGTATTGCCATGCAAACATAAACCAAATGATGGAGAGAATCTTTGTCCTAGAATGTGGAATAATCACTTGGTTTGTAAGTGGGCGTGATCAGAATACAGGAAAAGCTGTGCATTCCTGGGCTGTAGTATTGCTTTATAGCATTAGAAGGAAAATACTTCCATGCTTGTGTTATATTTAGGCTTCCACAAATCTTTTAATATAAGGCATTAACAAAGCAGCCAAAAATTTGATTATACATTTTTATTTTTTACTCTAAGGCTGAGAGAGTTCAGTTTACAGAAATGCAGGTTTTCAACACATACATTTGGTCTTTGCCACTCCTATTAAAGTAGTAATAGGAAAAGCACTCAGTAAAATGAGCTTAGAGCCAATTAATCTGGTATCTGGTTAACTTGCAGATTCTTTCATTGCATTCAGCTGAAAGGACTTGGTTAATGAAATGTGGTAATGCTGCTTGCACGACAGTTTCCTTCATAGAGCTGACCCTGTTCTCAACCTTTTACATTGCAGATGTCCAGCAAACCTGAATTTACATGGGTTCTCTGTTTCTGCCAAGGTGTCATTAACTCAGTCTTTAAGTTAGGGGAGGTGTATGAACTAAGATTAGGCTAATTTTCCTCTTAGGAGAAGTGTTAAGAAGGGAGTTGATGATTAGAGAAAAAAAAAATTACTTTCAATTTGTGAAACACTTTTTTACCCTCTCCTTATCCACTTCATACTGAGATTCCCTAGCTGTTACATCTCTTTGCCTAAAATCCCCTTTATCTGCTGCTGAAAGATGAGATACTTTTCTGCTCAGTGTTTCATGAACACTATAAACTACGCCCTTCTGTTATTAGCAAGCTTTAGTTTTAGAGCCTATGGTAATTGGGTATTTGCTGCCACAGAACTTGGCTTAAAATGAAGAAGAGTGCATCCACTCTTCTCTAGCTAGCATTTTGTTTGTTCTTTCAACAAAAAGGTGCATTGTGATGCAAGATATAAGCAACGATCCCAAAATGATGAGAGATGGCTGGCTGTCTTCCAGCAGCCTGGATGACACATGACTTTGTTGGAAAGATGAACATGTAACAGAGTAGGAAGATGCCAACTACAGAAAAAATCATGAGCACTGCATCCATATTGTTATTCATGTTCACATACTGTACCTCCAAAAAAAAGGATGCATTGCTGTTACATGGAGACTACATTTTAGTAGGATACGAGATGCAATGTTTGAAAAATAAGCAACAAAACACTGAATGAATGAATAAATTGTTGTGTAAAATTTTAAATAATAGTTTAGCCTGTTTAGAATGTGGGCTTGTGTGTGATATGTCTGTGTGATGCAGTGCAGAAAGAAAGCAAAATAGGTGAAATGAGAGCCAAGCAGGTTTTGTGCTTTCTACAAAACTGTTCTGTGTTCTAGGAGGTGTCACTGATTGAGACGCAAAGCTTTATACATGGGCTTGTTCTTTTGCTTAACTTTATTCAACAGCTTCAAGTTAAACCCTTTGTACAACCTTAAATAATTCCTCTCTACATAGTGTTCACGATCTTTCGAGTCTTGTAGATACTTATGTACCTTTAACAATTTAATTCAAGGCCATTCCACTAATGGTGGATGAAGGAAGAAGCGAAGCTGTCCGAGGATCTCATACAAGCACTCGTTTTCTAAAGAGCAGACATGTTTAGAGAGACTTGTGTAACAGTAGTGGCACTAAAGTTTTCCTCAGCTTCTGAAGTTTCCCAGCAGGACTAGGAATGTAATGATTGGCTGAGCAAGTCGTTCTGATTTCTAAATAGCAGTGGTGTAACTATTTTTACAGTTTACACTGGTGACAACTCTGAGCCACAGCCAGAACGTGCCTGTAGTTCAGGTGCATACTCAGTTCAGTAACAGCACTAAAGCCTGCAACCATCCTCTCCCCATTGATGGTTACGGTAGAATTTCCTTTGGGATTCTCAGTGTTCCTTGCAATGTTATGGAGCTGCTATGCTCAATCAAAGGAATGTCCTGAATGCAAACAGGTGGGTTTCTTCTGCAGGTGCTTCTCCAATTAAAAATTTGTCTGCTGTGTTTTGCAAAGGAGTTACTTTCCCTTCCTTTTGGTTGTGCAGAAGGGAAATGAGTGCTTGTAGTGGGAAACTCTGGTAAGAATGTGATCCTAGGGTTTTGCATGGGCTTACAAAGATGTAGGCTTTGCCATCAGCTTTCAAATAAATCCTTTGAAGCAAAAATAAGAGGTGGGAGATTTTTTTATTCCTTCCTCTTTGGAGAGCTAAAGAGCATTAACACCCTTAACGTAATTCAAAAAAGAAAAAAAAAATAGAAAAAAGGAAAAGTTATTGCCAAGCCCCGAGGGTGACACCCGGCAGGCTGTACCCGGTAACAGCTCTGTTCCGGTTGCTTAAGGAGAAAAGCCCCCGGTCGGAGCGGGCCGGCGGCGCCAGCGCGCCCCCGTGCG